CTCTGTCTCTCTCTCTCTCTCTGTCTGTCTGCCTCTCTCTCTCTCTCTCTCTCTCTCTCTCTCTCTCTCTCTCTCTCTCTCTCTCTCTCTCTCTCTCTCTCTCTCTCTCTCTCTCTCTCTCTCTCTCTCTCTGTCTCTCTCTCTCTCTGTCCTTTTGCGCATGTGTCTGTTGTATGGGGTGTAGTACAAAAGAGCACACGAAGACATGAACGGGTCAACAAGAACAAGGTGACTCCATAGGAGCATGCAAAGAAGGATGAGAGGACGAGTACATTAGTTCACACGACTGGCTGGGCGCCCATTCCTTGGCTGCATCCTGTGCTAGATACAGTATTTCCTACCTATTAATAGGCCTACACTGCGGGGAGGACTTCACGAGCAAGCAAACAGCAGCAAGCGTGGCTCACGCAAAGTTTTGCGACACAACAGTGGCAAGAGCAAGAGCTGCCGCGACGGTCACGCGCTGGATGGCCTGACGGGATGGGGTCGAGGAAGAAGTGAAGAAGGAGAAGAAGGAGGAGGAGGGAGAGGAAGAGGAAGAGGAAGAGGAAGAGAGGATTGTGGTGTTGGTGGTGGTGCTGCCTTAGTGCCTTGTTTGTCGTTCTTACCAACGCCGACGAGCAAGCAAGCAAGCAAGCACGCAAGCACGCACATATCCAGATGTGTGCATGCACCAACATCAGCAACAAGGCAACACCACGCCAGCATCAGCAACAACACGCCAGCAACACAAGTCACAGACATGCAGCGAGCAATCTGTCCTGTTCCGCCCCCACCCCTGACGACTGAAGCATTGGAATGGTCGAGGTTGTGTGGTGAGCACAGCGAGCAAGATGACAGGAGGACATGGCACGCCAGCAACAAACAAACAAAACCAACAACAGCAACAACCAACAACAACAACAAACAAACAACAGACAAAACAACAGCAAGCAACAACCAACGACGATCACAACCACCACAACAAACAGCCACCAGCAACACAAGAGCGCACGAGCTCGTATTGCGCACAGCATGCATGTTGGACGTGAGGATCCCACCAGATATCATCGCCGCAGCAGCAGAGCACCCGACCCTGACCGCGCCCGCCGCTCGCAGCAATGCGAGCAACAGCAAGACGAGCGAGCAATCCGCCTCGCTCCGTGTCGACGGGTTTGCCTTCGTCAGCCAACACATCTGTGCTGGGCTGGTTGCCGTTGTGCACCCTGACGCGATGAACGGACAACCACAACGAGCACATTCCCCGCCGCTCCCTTTGATGTGACAACACACACCAACGCTCTCCCACAAACACCAGCTCCCTCCACACGAGATAGCCACACAGACAGACAGCCAGCCAAAAGCAGCAGCTGTAGCAGCGAGAAGCAGCAGTGCAAGGAGCAGCACAGGAAGGACGAGGAAGCGGTGTGCATCACTCCACACACCCAAGTGAAGCATCAGCATCAGCAGCAAAGGAAGCGAAGAAGCACAAGCACAACCAAGAAGGAACAGCCACTTCTGCATACACACACGCACACACACATACACACACACAGCGCCCTCTTTGTTTCGACAGCAACAGCAGCAGGCAGCAGCAGCAGACCATGATGATGATGATGCGCAGTTCCAGCTGGCTCGCGCCTGTGCTGCTTGTGCTACTGTGCACAATGGGACACCAGAAGGCAGAGGCATGCGAATGCAAGGACAAGGCAACCCTGTGCGGTACACTGCTGACACAGCTGCTGTGCGAACTGGATGCTGCCTGTGACTGGGACTCGAACGATGGCTGCATCCCAGCAGGATTTGGCTGCGCCGGCCTCTCGGTGCGTTTCAGCGTGTGCCCGTGTGTGTGTGTGTGTGTGTGTGTGTGTGTGTGTGTGTGTGTGTATGTGAGCGGAGAATGTAGAGAGATGCAAGAAGTGAGAGTGCGAGAGAGATGGGAGACGCAAAGAGTGAGAGTGTGTGGGTGAGTGAGAGACAGAAGGGGCGGTAGAGGTGTGGAGGTGGTGCGTGCGAGATGGATGCAGTTTAGTTCGTTGTGCTTCGTGCGCCTGTTCGCTATTCAATCATGCGGCTGCGCTCACGGATCACTTTCCTCAATTCTTGCGCTTGGCATTGCAGTTTACGGGATGTCTCTTGAACCTCGACTGCACATGGACCTGTCCCACGAACACTACAACGACCACGACCACGACAACCACCACCACGACCACCACAACCACAACAACAACCACAACAACCACTACGACCACCACAACAACTACAACGACAAATCCCGGCATTTCCACAACGACAACACATGCTACGTCTTCGTCGTCGCCAATGACGTCCACGACAAGCTCGGCTGGCGGGAGCGTTGGTGCTGGCCAGCCGTCGTCCGCATCCTCACAGCCACCCCCAATCACCACAAACGATGGTGTGCAGGGCGATGCAGGGGATCTGTTGCTGCCTCTCGCCTCTGCTGGTGCGGGCTTGGGCTTTGTCATCATCATCATTGTCGCCATCGTGGCCTGGCGAAAGGGATGCCGATCCTCGTCATCGTCATCGGATGACCGGTCATCGCCGTCCAGCCTCCCCCTCTCTCGTGACGCCTCCCTGTCAATTTAACCTTTTCGTCTCTTGCGGCTTTGTTGATTCATTGATTGAACATCCTCTCTTGTTTTTTTTTTTTCCCTCATGCATCTGCATACTCGCATGTGTGGTTGAATCTTGCCTCCTTGCGGAGCGTTGTTGTTGGCGTTGGGTTGTTGGCTCGATCCTTGCTGGTGTGATGGGCTGGTTTCCATCACCAGCTTTCCTGGTTAGAGTGACCACCACACCGCATATGCCCCCTTCCAGCCTTACTGTCTCTGTTGACCATGTTCACGCGCCTGCCCCTGACTCATTTCCTTGTTGAAGGTTTGTTTGTTGGAGCGGTGCAAACGCCGCACCTTGCTTGGGTCGTTGACTTCAGTTTACTGTATGTGACCCCATGACAATACTGGCCTGAACTGCATCAGTGCATCGCTTCATGAGTTCATGCTCTCTCGTCCCTATCTTAGAACCTCTCCTTCCTGATGTCGGAATTGCTTCATCTGTTCGTCTCCACTCTTTTGTGATCATTGTTGCCCAAAAGAGCAAAAAGGCCTTTGCTCTTTTTTGTTTTGCATATGTTCCAAGATGCACTCTCCTTCCACTCTTCTCTCGCGTTGGTGTCCTGTTCTACGTCCTTTCTTCCCTTCTTGCACTTCGATTGTTGTCTTGTTGTTGCTTCTGCTTGCACGGCCTTGTGATTGCCGGGCTGTTTGCTGCACCCTCTCGTGCATGATTGTTGCGAGCCTTGCCCATTGTACATATCGCCGCCCGTTATCCCTACACCCATACACACAGTGCAGCTTGCATTATTGACTTGACCTGAGTAAGGGTGAGCTGCATGGGTGAGTCTTTGAGTGAGTGGTGGTGCTGTGGTGGCTTGGTGGGTTCGAACCACGTGGAACACCAGAACACTGAGACACTGAAAAGTGGCAGTGTCGACAATTGTTGTAAATCTTGAACCATATTTCTTCAATGCACATGCAAAGATGGAACATGCTCACAAAACACCCTCACAGCTGAGGCCATTGTCCACCTCACGCAAGCATACATTAGCACATTGTCGCTTCGTCGCACCACTCTTGCGCGTTCGTGCCACGCGCACACAAGAACAGACAAACACACCTTTGTGTGCACTCTTGGCTTCATCTGCTTATTTTTGTAAAATCAGCCACCACCCACGCAGAGGTGTCTGCAGTACGCCCCATTGTTTCGGCTCCCGTGAAGACAGAGCCATCCCTGACACCCCCCATCTCACCTCACAGCATTGGCTGCATCACCAATTGGGGTGACCTGATGCGACGTGGCATGGAGCAGTCCAGCAGTGTCTAACATTTCAGTAGGCCCACTGGCGATTGCACGAATGCCGCGCGTGTGTGTGATGACAGGAGCACATTGAAGTCGAGTGCAGGCCGACGGAAACAGTGGCCTCGCATGCTGCTTCGTTTTGGGCATTGTCACATTGACGAGGCCGCTCACAATGTGAATGTTTTCAATGCCGGGTGCAGCCACGCACGGGCCTCGTGTCACTTGCCCTGAAACCATGGTCGCACCTTTGTTTTGGCGAATGGTCACCATGTATGCCTGCGTGTGTGTGTGGGGGGGGGGGGGGAGGGGTTGACTCCAGCGGCTAGCGTGCTGGTCATTGGCCAGCTGCATGGCTCAACCCGGATTTCATGTCAGGTGGAGTGTGGACATGAGTTCATTTTCCACCGACGCCAGCTGCAGCCACCCTCCCTTTGGATCGCTGACCAAGCCCATCTCTCTTCGCACACACTGCAAGACCGTCGCCCGATACCTGGCAACTGCTTCCTTCTTCTTCGCGAGTCATCGCTGCTTCGACTCTCGCCCATAAAGCCACTCTGGTCTTCACACCGCTTTTGGATCACTGAACCGTTCACGCAAGACGTCAAGATGCTGTCTTCTTCCCTCTGCATCTCGGCTGCCATACTGGCTCTGCTGTGCCTGCAAGTTTCCGCCGGAGGCATGCGCCAAGACGACCACTGCGAGGCTTACGGACAAGATATGCACCGATGCAAAGCAGATTACAGCTGCGCGGTGTCTGCTTCCTGTGCACCACGCTTCAACTACTGCAACTACGCGCGGCGGATGTACTGCGAGCGCGATCGTCGCTGCGCCTGGCACCCACACAATGGCTGCCACCCCACGACCGACTCGTGCGCCTCCATTGAGGTGAGGATCAGTTTGTGTTGTATGCGTGTTTGTGTCGTGTGTGTGTGTGTGCTTGTGTACGCGTGTTTGTGTCATGTGTGTCATGTGTGTGTGTGCGGAGGGGTGTGCTTGTTCGTGTCATGTGTGTGTGTGTGTTTGTGTCTTGTGTGTGTGCTTGTGTACGCGTGTGTGTGCGGGTGCGTGTGTGGTTGACGTGTGTTGTCGGTGGATGAAAACACTGAGGGACATGCTCGTGCTGTATTGGAGCTGCATGCATGCATTGCTCACTCACACACACACACACACACACACGCACTCACTCACACACGCACTCACACACATATACATATTGCGCTTGACAGCGGGAGTACTTTTGCCGCCGCAACCGCCATTGCATTTGGAAGGCAGAGTGCCACACACGCCGCATGTCCACAACGGAAGCCCCCACCACAACATCGACCATGAACGCCACCACCACCACTTCCACCACCTCGGACATGGGCTCCGGCTCTGGCGAGCCAACCATGATCTACAGCAGCAGCCACGCTCCGTCCACCACGGCTGCACCTAGCACCACTGCCCGCGGAAACAACACGGACAGCGACCTGGCCAACGCCCCACGCGTCTCCGACTCTGATGGCAGCGGTGGCAGCGACGGTGCTGCTGGTGCTGCCGGCCTCTCTGTTGGCGCCATTGCCGGCATTGTCGTTGGCGTGCTGCTCCTGGTCGGCGTCGTTGTTGGCGTCGCCATGGCGCGAAAGGCACGCAGCCAGGACGAAGGCGCACAGGACTCTGTCTGAGCGGTCGTTTCCCCCTCTCTCTCACTCCTCCTTTATCCGTCTCTTCCCCCTCCTTTCCCCCTTCTCCTGGACGCGAACTGTGTTTGGTGTTTGCTTGGCCTGCTGCGGTGCTGGTGACTGCCTGTGAATGTGTGTGTGTGAATGTGTGTGAACAGTCTGTTTGTGTGTGAACGTGTGTGTGTCTGTGAACGTGTGTGTGTCTGTGAACGTGTGTGTGTGTGTGTGTGTGTGTGTGTGTGTGCGTGTGTGTGTGTGTGTGTGTGTGTGTGTGTGTGTGTGTGTGTGTGTGTGAACGTACGTGCCTTGTTTGACCTGCGCTCGCTGTTCCTCGTTGCCTACAGACCTGCTTTGTTGTTGTGTTCTGGTATGTTCCTGTCTTGGCTCTGGTTTCTTCCTTGCCTTGCCTTGCTTGTCGTTCGTTGGTGTGTGCCTCTTACGAAAATACACAGCAGCCAAAGATGGACAGAAGCAGTGTATGCGTTCAACTGTCCAAAACAACAGCTTAGGCAAATTTCTCAAACGACACCACAATTTTTCTGCTGGCACGCACCTCGCAGACCAAAACAACAACGCACAAACGACCTTCCCACAACAGTGTGCACGCCACCAGCAACCATGACCAGCGCGATGCATGCACAAGGCCACGCACGCCTGCACGCAGTGTGCTGTGGGCGTTGTGTGACGTGACACACCGCGCCAATGTGCTGACCACTCGGCTCGTCAACGGCACTTAAAGCAAGCACACAACCGCACAAGCGCAGGGCCCAAGCAGAAGCCAGCTATCCGCAAGCAACGCATGAGAAAACCTGGGGTGGTGGGTTCGTGTTGCACCGTTCATTTCTCGGCTTGACCACCTGATCTGAGCAAGGTTTCTGCGAGACACATCCTCGAGAACACGTTCCGTGTGCATCACACCAACACAGCGCACAACACACTCGCATCGAGACCAACAGGTGAGCAAGGGGAACAAGCAGGAGCGAGCAGAAGAGAGCTCAAAGCTGCTCAAGCGAGAGAGAGAGAGAGAGTGTGTGTGTGTGTCTGTGTGTATGTATGTGTGTGTGTGTGAGGGCACGCATCGAACCAGAGGGCAAAGGCACAGGCAAGACAGGAGCGAAAGATCGGAGCAAACTCGAGAACATGGGTGTGCCATCGCGACATTCACTTGTGTCAGCACAGCGACCACGAGCTGCAAGCTTGGTAGTATGCGTGGCCACCGCCATTGTTGTTGTGGCTTGCTTGATGTGCCGTGGCGCCCACGCGCAGTCCGCGACGACTACCACAACCACGGTACTACCAACTACACCAACCACGGCAACAACAACAACAACAACGCCAACGACACAGCAGTCATCTGCGACTTTGGAGCCTGCAACGACGCAGGCCTCAACCACAACGGCTGCTCAAACGACGACAGGGACAACCACGGCTACGCGAACAGCAACACACGTGTCGCCTGTAACAGCGACGGAAACGGAAGACGCCAGCTCCACAACGGCTCAAGCTGGGTCGTCTGCACCTACAACCACCACATCAGCCCAAACCCCACCTCCTACTGCGCCCACAACAACACCGGCGTCCACAACAACAACAACAACAACAACAACAACAACAACAACAACAACAACAACAACAACAACAACAACAACAACAACAACAACAACAACAACAACAACAACAACAACCACAACAGCAGCAGCCGGGGCGACTTCCACGTCCAGGCAACAAACACAAGCAACCACCGAAGCAGCACCTCCAACCAGTACACAAGCCGCGACAACGACGCCAGGAACACAAATCGCGTCAACCACGCAGTCACCAACGACCACCAGCCAAGAACATGCATTTGAAGGCTCAACGACGACGGGGTCATTTGGCTTTGCGTCTCCAAGCGACTCATTCTCCAGCACCACGCCACCATGCCAGACCCGCTACGCCCCGCGCGTGTACGGCATCGACCCCCCATGCGGCCTTGGTGAAGGTGAAACCACCGTGCGGTTGAACGTGGGCATTGACCCAGCCATTGCCGACACCGCACCGCGCGCAACATGCGCCTTCCACCTTCCATTCAGGACTGGCGCAGACAGCCTGGCGTGGTCCTGCTCGTGGCACGGGTGCGAGGCGTCTGCGACGGTGGTTGACGGGGGCAACGCGATTGTGTGCGCGGTGCCGGGCAACATGCCGACGAACATCACGGCGACGGGGCCGGACGGCAGCCAGGCCGTGCGGGTGACGGTGCGGGTGTGGCACGCGCAATACGCGGGCGGCAGCGGGGACAGCGCGTGCCAGTCGCACGGCGGAGAGCCACCGGCGCTGTGGGACCAGCACGACTACGTGGTGGCGCACCACAGCTGCGGGTGCCCGCCCGGCGTCGGCTACGTCGAGTGCGAGGAGCCCGACATGTGCCGCACGCACCGCTGCCTGGCGCACCCGCGGGCGGCGTGCGAGGTGAGCCACTGCGGCGTGTGCGCGGTGCGGTTCTACGCGGAGAAGCGCAGCTCGTACGAGGGCGTGGCGCCGCTGGACTGCCTGCCGCGCGACAAGTGCACGGGCGAGTGCCGCAAGGAGTTTGAGGCGTGCTCGCAGTACACCGGGTGCAGGGAGGCGCTGTACCGGCTGGTGGACGAGCGGGCGTCGTCCGGCACGTGCAACGGCACATGCCACGAGCGGCTGGCGGTGCCGACGGAGCCCGGCCGCACGCTGTTTGACCGCGTGTGGTCCTGCTACCGCACGTGCGAGGAGCGGGAGACGGTGCACACGGTGTGCGCGCTGCCGCCGCGGGCCGGGCAGTGCAAGGGGCGCATGACGCGGTGGTACTTTGACAGGATCACGGGCAAGTGCCGGCAGTTTGCGTATGGCGGGTGCGGCGGCAACGGCAACAACTTTGAGACGAGGGAGGCGTGCGAGCAGCGGTGCGAGCTCGGGGCGTGCTGCACGCGGCGCACGGTGCTGGACGACGTCGGGTACGACGCCAACGGGTACGACCAGTTTGGGTACGACCGGCGCGGGTATGCGCGGGACGGGTTCTCGCGGCGGCCGTGGACATACGCGGAGTTTGTGCGAAACACGTTTGACCTGTTTGGGCTGGACGAGCGCGGGTACGATCCGCGCGGGCTGGACGGGTCTGGGTTCTCCGTGGACGGCATGTCGCAGAACATGAGCCGCGACGGCCTGCAG